ATTGTCAGGTTTATTGTGTTTATCTATGAAGGAAGAAAAAAACTATAAAAAAAAAATAATAATACTTTTTTTTGGGAGTGAGCAAGGTACGGTATTGAATCCGTACCGCTACCGATACCGGAAATTTAAATCGGTATGGTACCGTATTGGATTATGATTTGTTAAAATTGGTACCGTGCCAAATTGGTATCGGTACGGTATCGGTACTAAAATGATACAATTAAAAAATGAACCAATTCAATATTCAACACCAAAATAAGTGATGTTTAAGTTACAAATTCAAAGATTCAATATATTCAATATCCAAATCCTAATCAATATATTCAATATCCAAATCCTAATCAACATTTCAATATCCAAATCAACCAAATCAATATTTATCTATCAACAGATTCATCAAATCCGAATGGTTAAAACTCATGCCTTATGACTTACAAACTAAAATAGTTAAAATTATGTCTTATGGCTTACAAAAATACAAAAACAATCCAAACATAAATAACAAAGCCATAAAGTTATACTATTCGGTACGGTATGGTATTGACATGTACCAAAATCTTGATACCGCTACCATACCATATTATATTAGTACGGTACGGTACAGTACAATACCAAATATCTCTCCATACCAAATAAAACGGTATGAAATCGGTATGGTACGGTACGGTTAAGGTACAGTTTCGGTATTTCGGTTTAAGATGCCCACCCCTACTTTTTTCACCAATTAAAACCTAAACTAATTTGGTTAGAACTTAAATATGATTTGTTGGAATTAGATGGGAGTTTATCCTTCAACTAATTTTATTTATGATATGTAAGTGAAAGGACAGAAGTGTCCCTGGGGTTTAAGTTGGGGCAAACAAATATCCTGAGTTCATTTGCTTGGGCTGGTGAAAGTTGGGTTTGTATTAATTATTGTTAATGAATACTTTATTTATATCAACGAAGATTAATTGGTGAGTTTTAGCTGTCCCAGACCACTTTGAGACTAGTAGTGGAATGATTTTTCTATTTGATTAAGACAAGGCGTTCCTATTCTTATATTTGTTTTTATCATGTGATCATTTTCCATTGGAGTCATGTTGTACATAATAGGACATTATGATAAAAGCAGAATTTGTTCTTCATCCTACTTTAAGCACATGGAAATCAAAATCGAGCATAAGAGGGCGAGTATAACGTCTTAATCAACTAATTTAACGCCCACATATGCTCATTTTATTTTGTTAATTCTAACTTACGCGATCTAAGATGGAAGATGGTGTTTATTCATCGAATTATACTGTGGTAATCAATATCATGGGTGTGTAAACTAAATAAAAATAAATAAAATTGCATATTGGACTTGCCGATTGCCGTGACCAAATTCCAACAATCTCGGCAAGATTTAATGTGGGTTGGTCATGAGATGACCCATGAATCCTGATGCATCATTTAATCATATCTAGCCATTCAGATCATTATACCTTAGGGTTTGACTTTGGAAAAAGAAAACATGAAATTCCCATGCAGCCATTGCCATTTATTGTGCTTTGGGGAGGGTCAAGCCAGAAAAAAAGGAAGACATAATATTATATAAGAGTCTCAAGAAATTCATGCCTCCTCCATGCTTGTTTGTCACAGAGCTTCTTGCAAGTTGCAACCATATGGTGGTGTTTCCCCGTGACTCTATCTCATCTTTGATTTTTGATTTCAAATTAATATATACATTATACATATAAATTTAAAAAACCTAATGAAGTACAGAATCTAAGTACCAGATTTGTCTTGCAAAGTTTCAAACTTTCGAACTAGAGCTTCACATGGTGGTTTTCAACAATAGACCAATATGAGTAAAATATTTATTTTCGAGACTTCAAAACAAAATATCGAAAATGGATCTACATTGTCAAACATTGTAAGATATTCTCACATACACTATCAAGATGTCATGGAAGTTCGAACTTTAGACTATTGGTCTTCAAGTTAAGGTATTTTTTCACTGGTTAGACCGAGTCAACGAAAATTGATCTAAAATTCAGTTGCATAGTTTGGTTCTCGGTTGAGAAATGGAATGAAAATGATGAAAAATATATTTGGTTTTATGCAGATATGTAAGAGTCAGGATTAAGAATTTGAAATAAATTATAACTAGTAAACATTGTCACTTTAAAAAAAATGAAAGAGAAAAGGGTTTCTGGTAAGGATGGTTAGGCTGAAGAATTAAAGAGTAGGGCCATGGCCCTGCGCCAATATGAGCAAACCTTATAATTGAAGCCTACTTGAATAACCGCGTGGGGCAAGCACTAAAGCTAAAAAGAGCAGGAAAAAAAGAGGAACCAGCAACTGGAAAGAGCATAAAAGCGTGGCAGAGACTCAATAAAGCATTGCAGGCTTAAAATTTAGGCAACAAAAGACAGATCTGCATACCCAACAAGATAACCTTTTCCAAACACCCAAGTTAAATTCAATGATACTGCAGCTAGTGATCTTCTTCTTTTTTTCTCTGAGCAAAAGAAAAAAAGTTGAGAAATTCACACTAGCTTTGTCAAAGGTCATATCCAATTCATATTCCATTTCATCCAAAATGGAGAACTTCCATTACAATGTGGCATCTTTCACTAAAGCATTAACCTGCAGATAGTGACATCTTGCACTTACTCCTTCCTGGACCAGTCCCCACTCTTCCCACCAGTTTTACTCTTGAGTCGTATATCGGTGATCCGTATAGATTTTGAGGCAGCTTTGCACATATCATAGACTGTTAGGCCAGCAACACTCACTGCTGTCATTGCTTCCATCTCAACCCCAGTTTTCCCTGTTGAACTGGCTTCTGCCTCAATATCCACACTGAAATCCTTGGGATTTAATGTCAGATCGACACGAACATGGGTCAGCGGTATGTTGTGGCATAGTGGGATGAGACTACTTGTGTGCTTTGCTCCACTTATTCCAGCAATTTTTGCCACACTGAGGACATCACCCTTGGCCATCTGGTTAGCTAAGACCAAATCAAACACCTGCTTTCCAAGAATTACCTTGCAACTAGAAATGGCAGTTCTCTTACTGCTTTCTTTGGGAGAAACATCCACCATTTGGGCTTCCCCTTTATTGCCAATGTGGGTTAGGCCAAGTTCACTTTCACCTTTTTCTTGAGGTGCTAACTGGGGTTCTTGAGGCATAAAATCATTACTCGGAGAACTGGCAGGCCCATTTGCTGGAGGTTCACCAAACACTGATTCCATTTCCTGAAACCAGGATTATAGTTAATACATGGAAGTACGTTCAACATGCCTTAACGAATTTTCTTCAAAAGAGAAAACTTTTAACATTACATACTGAGCAATTATAAACAACTATGAAATATTTCTTGAGATAAACGCTAGAGCTCGAATCTGATAACAGAAGATAACTTTGAACACTGGAATTATCTGTTTGAACGTAATAATGTATCAGACAGGTCTCCTTTCTTTTCTTTTCATAGAGGCTCAAGTCCTTTTTCTGCATTACTTTGAATTTAAGTAACCAATTACTCTGAAGCAAATAAGAAGCAGTGCATTTCTATCCTCATTGTCTGCTATAGTGCATCATATTAGTTGAAATAATAGCAAAGCAAACAAAGGTAAGCAACTGATTTCCTAACCCAAGTATTCAATTGTTTTCAAATCATTCAAAGCAGCTGGAAATAAGAACCAACAGACTCTGTACATATGCAGCATAAACAATATTTTACCTTATTAAGCTCAGCAATAGTTCTTGCAAGATCATGGCTGCTATTACTGCTAAGAAACCTTCTCGAGCGAGAAGATGCTACTGCAAGTCTCCGAAGAAACATGGCTGGCAGAATCTAGATTCGGAATTTCAGCTGCAACTACAAGTATCGGAAAAATATCCAACTCTCTTTGGCTTCTCAAAAAAGTACAAAGATAAAAACCATACTGACATTAGCTGCCTACCATTTTGGAAGGCAATAAATTGCTTTTGGAAGCAACATTTACTACAAATATGAATGATTGCGTAAATGAGATACATAAATGATAAAACCCAGTTCTTAGTCAGGCAATTTAACAAACACTTTGAGGTCATCATCTAAAAAAAAACATGAAACTTCGAATTTCAGACGGGAAAAATTATTTTAAAAATTCCGTATTCATTACAAGAGAGAAGCAATGTGAGGAAATTATAGAGCGCTCGAAGCCATGCAAAGATTGGGTAAAGCACGTACCTTAGTGAAAGCAGCTATTGGCGAAGAGCGTGTACCTCCTGCGTTTGCTCTGCAGTTTTCAAACAAGAGGGCTTTGTGCAGAGGAGAGGCCCAATAGGAATCAAAAGTGGGCCAAAATAGAAGTGAAAGATATATAGATTAGAGCAAACGTATTTTCCTAAAAATACTTCCGTTTTCGTATAAGTCTAAAAAATATGAACAAAAAAATACGAAAAATTACGCATTCTTTTTTAAAGCAAACGTATTATTAATATTCACATTATATGCATATTGAAGTATTTTTCATGAATAATAAACATTTTTCTTGAATATTTTTACAATAATACACATTTTTCACGTATCATTGAGAAAAGAACAACTAATTCAAAAAAATTTACTGGCCGGATTTTTCATCATATATTTTCAAGAAAATTTGTAGAATAATACATGTATAATATTACACTCGTGCCGTATTTTATTGAGTCATTTGTAAGTCTAACAAACAAGTTAACCTTCGTAATTTTTTTTTATGTAGAACTTGGTGGACTAGGGTTTAGGGCGCTAGATTGACCTCATGTGGATTGTTGAATGCCATAAAGACAACAAATGAGAACTTTACTGGAGAAAAATCTAACCTTCAAGATTTAAGGTGGAAAAATAACCCACATGACAACAATTAGTGTCGAAGTCACACCAAAAGATAAACTTTAGGGATAGGAGAGAGAAGGGTGTAACAGCTAGTAACTTCAGTTGTTTTTGCAAGTATGCAATTAGCAAAGCCTT